TCTACATTCTTTAAATACTGAATATTACAATTCCTTTCTAAGAGCCAGGACTCAGGACTACTGATTCTTCGTCCAGAATTAGTTCCATTATAACCTACAGCTTGTCATAGAATTCTATCATTTTCATTCCTTTAAAAATCACAGTTAAACATAATATAAATCTTGTCCTCAGGAAACAAACATAAACTGAGGAATGTTCTTTAAAACCATCAATGTCATAAAAGACAAGGCTGAGGAACTATGCCAGATTAAAGTCTCAAGAAACATGACAACTAAATTCAATGTATGCAGGTAACTGTTGAAGCTAAGCAAAAGGATACAATAATTCATTTTATTATTCTTCTATTATTTTCAAATTTGTCATAATAAAAGTTTAAAAATAAAGTCCTTCATAGAGAAATTTTGCTGGATGTCAATGTTTTTTTTCCCTTCCATAGCCTACTCACAGGCTATCTCCTCTAGAAATAAGTACCAATTTGACTTCATACACGTCTTTCTTTCAAACATTAGCCTCCCTTCCAAACAATGTGCAATTTTTTTTAGCCAGACTAAATTCACGCAGATTACAAATTACCTGCATTAACTTTCTCGTTAAATACTAAACTCCCTGAGGGAAAAGGTTTTATCTGGTAATTAGCATAAATTTTTTAGTCTAAAAGGATTATGTAGCACCTTTCATCACTGGCTCTGAGCTCCACCTCTTTTTGGCACATGGGAAATGAAACTCACAATCCCATCGAGGCTGTTCCTTGTGAGGTTTAGGGAAGGCAAGCCTGCTTCCATTAAGGCTACCTTCATGTCTGACACACCTTTTAGATACTACAAGTGGTTTAGAATGTTCTTACCTAATAAGATGTTAAAAACAAAATCCATGAAACTTCCAATAAAAAGAGTCATTAATTACTGGAAACCTAGAATTACTAGAAGTCCTAGAGAGAATGGGATTGAAAGAATCACAATACAAGAATAACCCTCATCCCAATCCTACAAATAAATACATTTAGGATGATCCCAGCATTCCAATTAACTGATGTGAAGGTGAAACCATGAAGTGTTGAAATCTAAAGTATTAATAAGCAACGTTTTATTCTATTAATTCAAAGTATACTTAAGGTATACTTGTACAATGTTGATTAATTCACCAAAATGCTGCTTCTGAACATTACTGTTAAATTTACTTATTACTTAAGACTGTGTTTACTAAATGGAATACATTCCGTTAGGTACTATAGAGTAGTTAACAATTAAAATATTCCCTCTTCCTCTAATACAAGTCATATAAGACAGATAAAAACACTGTAAGGCTGTGTCAAAGCATCTAGGAATTCAGTTAAGAATGTCACACCTGACTAGGGTTGTAGAAGAGGAGATGTAATAGAACTAAGAGAAGAGCATCAAGAAGTTCAGCATGTACCCCAAAAACTGCAAATAACCCAAATCCCTTAAAATTATCATGAGACCTGCCTCTAACACAGATGTCAAATTTTACTCTAAGTTGACCTCCTGTGCACTAGAAGATATCTGACATAAAATACTGCAAGTCCACCAACACTGAAGCCACACTGCTGGAAATTCAATTTTACTGGGCTAGCTTTCATAATGCTATTAAAGTCGAGTGTGAGGAAAAGCAGAGTTCTTGGATCAATGGCTTCTAGCAGATAGGGCTAAATAAGGCAGTTGCAAAGAGCAACAGGTTCTTTAAACAACAGTGGATATAGCTGCAAATCAAAGCACACATAAGTGCAGAAAGGACTCGTGATTAATATTAGTCGTTTCAGGCTCATCCACAAATACCAAACAATTAGCATCAACTGTATATTTATCTTCCAACTCCAAAAGTGTTTTAATAATGTGGCTTATTACAGTTGAATATGGAGGTACTTTTTAGCACAATGAATCCCTCTGTAAATTCAAGTAATAGAACTGTTAAACATTATGAAACAAGTCAGCCACAGAAAACCAAACATCACTAACAATATTGTACCCACATTTTGTCTTGTGTCACACATATGTGTCTTGTGTCTTTTAATTGAGAGGAGGGGAAATAGAAGTCTTTTACTAACTCCTGTAAGAATCCTGCAGAGAAACCTGTGAACAGCTGCAATCTTTAAGAGGTCCATTCAAAAACAGACAAAAAGAAAATCTTGATTAGTATATTGTAATAGTTTTTTTAAAAATGTACAGTAACTTCAAGGGAGAACTTGTATCATACTAAAACAGTATTTACCTTCTTAATAATAAAGTATATACATTAACAAAAGTTTAAAATTCTAGTCTTAAAGTTATATAACATCTTCATATTAATTGATTTACATCACTCATTGGGCATACATAGCTACACCAACATCACTGTTCAGAAGCTTTTGTTTCGAGCCATTTATTTCCAACCAAGGAGATTCAGACTATGCTCAAATCTGTAACAGAGAAAACCCCTACAATTGGGCAAACAAGATAAATATTTTAAACATGGAAGAAGCTAAGCTCAAAAAGGTTTTCCTATTTAAAAGATTATTCCAAAATTCTCACTTCAAAGAAAAAATATATCTAATTTTCTCATGCTTCCCATTCTGCTTTGATTAATATTTTACTTTGAAGTTTGACAGCCTTATAGCTAAAAGATTCTCAAATTATTCTGCCTGAAAACCAGGTGACTGAAATCATTCATTTGCCTCAATCAGATTATATAATCAGATTTTTCCAAACCTTAAAACATATGATTCAAACATACCCATCACAAAAGTACAAATATGCACTAGCACGTTTTCTCCTGAGTACATTCTGAACCATCTACTCTTCAAGTGGATCGTTTACAAAATAAGAACATAATTCCCTGAATCAGTAAAGTTAACTTTATTTTCATGAAAGAATGACAAATTCCATTTACACTATCACGATTTACATTTTCCTACAATTCACGCAGCTTTCTTCAATTCACAATCTACAAACCACAACAATGCACAAATTTGGGGTTAGACAGATACTTTAATGTTTAGTTCTTATTTCAACAGTCATTGTTGCTACAGTCTCTCATTCTCACTCTTCACTGTGTTACTCAGAGAACAAAGAACTAAAGAAACTGAAAAGAACTAGATCAAGTGATGAGACCAATTTTCAGCGTAAGGCATAATAACGTTAGCTAATCAAAAACTGGAGTATTTCTATCATTTAATCCTTCAAGACAATAACCTCCTGTTTTCCCTCACTTTCCTTCCAATAACTTGACAGAATTCTGTGGAAGGACGGATCCCAAGCAGAAAACCTTCACAAATGTGAAAGAAAACTGGAAATCCTAGCATAGTCACAAGACTGACTAGAAATTCCAGAACTCTGTAAACAACCTTTGTTTTCAATGCAGAAATCATTTCTGTACTTTTAATGACCCATCATTCAACCTCACTTGAGCTCCTCCAATCATTGGCACTACTTTACCAAGTTATTAGACAGTTCTATTAGTAGTTATTTGAAAAATCATTCTTCTCTATAATTTAAATATGTCTGACTATAACTATTTCTTACATGCTATAGGGCTAAATAAACAAATTCCTCAGCTTGAAATGAAAATCTTTAGCTACTAGAAGGCCTTTATTCCATTCTCTCATTCTCATTTTTAAAATCTGTGACCTATCAATTTCAAAAACCTATTCCAGTTTCTCCTTAAAGACTCCTAAAAGGGAACACAGTGCTTTACTCACAGCACCTTTTTCTTCAATACTTAATAAATTTATTCTCTTAATTGACAAAGCAATGAGAGTAGTAAAACTCAAATCTAGAAAGTCTAGATAAAAACTCATAAAAATCTGTCACTGTAACTGAGACTGACAAATGGTGTTATGACTGCTAAATGCAAAAGAAATGAATTTAGAACCCACTTCACACCATCTAAAAAATTACCACAAACTGGGTTATAGAACTAAAAGTTAAAACTCTGAAACACTTCAAAGAAAACATACAGGTCAATCTTTACGACCTTGGATTAGGCAACAGTTTCATAGATATACCACCAGAAGTACAAGAAACAAAAGAAAAGAACAATAAACTGAGATCATAAAAATGTAAAATGTTTTCATTTCAAAAGACACCATCAAGAAAGTGAAGATAACCCACAAAACAGGACAAAAGTTTCGTAAATCATTTCACAGATATGAATCATATCATTTGCATCCAGAATATATGAATACTACAACTCAGTATAAAGTCAATTTTGAAATCTGAACAGATAACCCAAAGAGTAAAATACAAATGGCCAATAAGAATATGAAAATATCCTCAACATCACCAGCTATCAGAGAAGTGCAAAACAAAATTACAATGAGGTACTACTTCACACCCATTAGGATGGCAGTCACCAAAAGGACGGTTGTAAGGGTTGACAAGGATATGAGACAGATGAGAAACTGAAACCCTCATTCACTGCTGGTGGAAATGCAAAATGATGCAGTCCTTTGGAAGACAGTCTGGCAGTTCCTCAATTATTAGTATTTCATTAGAAATAATGAATTAATAGGATATTTAAAAAATTTAGTATAAAACTGACAAGTGTCTTTTATTTCACAGGAATAAAAAAATACATCAGGACATGTTTCATATATATGAAAATATATATATATACACACACACACCCCAATGACTACAATAATCACTTTTTAATTCTAGAAGGCAACAGCCAGTATACTTGATGTGCCATGGAGAAGTGCTGGCAATTTTCTTTATGATTCACTGACAAGACAATTAAAATAGCTCACTAATTTATTCAATTTGCAGGTTTTCAAATTTCCAAGTAAAAAAATTACCCTCCAAACTAACGAAGATTTTATACTTCAAATAGTAAACTAAGGAATGACTTTTAATCAAATTATGGAATGGGCTATTAATCATTACTAGCCAATGAAGTTGATACATACATTTCTTTTAATTTTGTTTTTAATTTTTTGAAGTACACAGTAGGTGTATATATTTATGAAGTACACAAGACATTCTGATACAGGCATGCAGTGTGTAATGAAAAATATGAAACCTTCGTAAAACTGTGTGTCATCCTTGTGCAGGGGCCATGCTAATCTTTGTATCATTCCAATTTTAACATATGTGCTGCCAAAGTGAGCATCAGTTACCGCATTTTTAAAAAGATAGTCATTAAGTAGAAACGCCTCTCTCAAAATAAGACCTGTTAAAGCACAGGGTGCTGGAACCCGCACCACTTTCTGACTCAACGGCTAAATATGGGATGCAGCCAAGAATCTGCATTTCCAACAAGTTAGCAGGAGATGTTGATGCTGCCAAGGATCACGTTTTGAAAACTACAATACTCTCCTGAATCATCTAACACAACAATATTCTTTTTAATACCAAAAACTGGTAATATTAACAATCCAATCATTTGTTAAACATCATTTGCCAAACATCAGTTATGTAAGATACATCAGAGAAGCTTTAAATCATCAGGACTTTCCCAGTGTTGTCTGCTCCAATTAGTATATCTTCTACTAATACGCCCATAAGATGCCTTTCAAGTCCTGCATCCATGAAGCCTTCTGATTCCTCCAGCTAGAAATAACTGCTTATTCCTTTGAACCTAAGTCATCACTTGTAACACCCATTAAACACTGCCAACTTTTATTACTTGTTTAGCTATTCACATTCAAGACTTTCTCACCTACTAACCTAAGTTCCATGGTAGCCTACTGATAGGCATTTTCATATCCCTCAGAATTCTTGGCACTGGCTCTCCATAAATAGTCGATAAATATGTCTGTAGTAAATAATTAAAATCAATATAGCCTTGATTTCATCCCCCATTTTCAGCAAAAAAAGGGGGGGGGGCACAAGTCAAGCTTTTACAAAGAAATGTCCAAATCAAATCCTTTTCAAAAGACTGTACATAATGTTCCATTGTAATATTTAACCACGTAAGTTTAGGCTTAAGGAATAAGAACACTAGAAAGGCAGTTTCAGCAAAACCCAGTTTCAGCAAAAACAGTATAACTCTTCAGTTGGTGAACTAACCTATAGTTCTCTTCTCATAAAATGCACTCAACAATACAAAAGTTTGATTGTTTTAAAGAGTAATCTGCCATAGATTATAATCAGCGTAGAACCTGCTGCCCAAGTATAATTCTTTCCATAATGTATCATTTACATTAAAAAACCCTTTGTGTTATGGTATATATCTCAACAGACTGCCACCTGACCTACATACAGAAGCTCAGCTTGTATATCTAGTTCCCACCAAGTCCCTTGAGTCATTTCTTTTATGGTATCTCCAACACCATATAAAACAGCACAGAATTGCAACATGTTAGAAGTGTTTAAAATTATCTGTAATTCTCAGTATCATTAAAAATTCTATGATATAACTCCTTCTACTATCCTTTAATCTGTCTGCCCTTTATAGAGTGTGAAGGAAAAAAAAGAACACAGGGGACCTAATGTTATTTATCTCCAAAACCTAAAAACACAGTACCCGGTATACAGCAGGTGCTCAAGAAATACTTTGAATTGCAATCATTGTTGTTACTTGCTATCTTGTGTACTATTCTTCACATAGCTCATTAGACTACTAGTATCAACACCTGGCAATTTAGGGCAGAACTGAGATCTATAGCAGCTCCAGAAACTCAAGTCCTAAGTACAAGAAAAGCATACCAAACATGCAGTTCTAGTTAATCTTTGATGGACCTGAAGGTTAGAAAAGACAACGAAGAAATCACTGCCTGAAACACTATTAAGTCACTTTAAGGAGTTTGGGAGGTTTTTTGTTTAAACATATACCGGCAGTTAACACTTCAGATGGTAGTGTGGGACTGTAAAAATCACCAAGATTTGAAACTGAACAAGGTGATCTTAATCAGTGTGAATTGTTCCATTACTTTTAAAAATTTCATCAAGATATTAAAAATGTTTACTATCAGTTATCAATGTATAATCAAAATATTGTAAAACGGGCCGGGCGTGGTGGCTCACACCTGTAATCACAGCACTTTGGGAGTCTGAAGCAGGCCGAAGACTTGAGGTCAGGAGTTCGAGACCAGCCTGGCCAACGTGGTGAACCCCCATCTCTACTAAAATACAAAAATTAGCTGGGCACGGTGGTGCACACCTGTAGTCCTGGCTGCTCAGGACGCTGAGGCAGGAGAATCACCTAAACCCAGGAGGTGGAGGTTGCAGTAAGCCAAGATCACACCACTGCACTTCAACCCGGGTGACAGAACAAGACTCCGTCTCAGGAAAAAAAGGGGGAAAAAAAATCATTCTTTTAGTACACTGTAATCTAAAACATTAGAACCGACGTGAATTGTTTTATTTCTTGGTAAATAGCTTATCGAGAACTTTGAATAGCAACTTTTCTTCTCATATAACTTATGACACAGAGAGCAAGCATCTTTTCCTCTTTTTTGGAGACAGGGTCTTGCTCTGTCAACCAGGCTGGAGTCCAGTGGCACAAACACAACTCCCTGCAGCCTGAATCTCCCAAGCTCAAGCAATCCTCTCACCTCAGTCCCCCAAGTAGCTAGGACAACAGACGCATCCCACCACGCCCGGTTCATGTTTGTATTTTTAGTAGAGACGGGGTTGTGCCATGCTGCCCAGGCTGGCTGAGAACTCCTGAGCTCAAGCAATCTGCCCACCTCGTCCTCCCAAAGTGCTGGGATTACAGGCGTGAGCCACTGCACCCAGCCTGAGCCACTGCACTTGGCCACTTATGACACAGAGCAAACATCTTCTCTATTTCTTGGGGAAATTTCTTGGGGGCATTTTCACAATTCTCTAAAACTTCTAACATTTTATCCTTGCATTTTCAATGTCTTGAAATATCTCTGAGAGTTTTTGGCCAGTGACACTTCCTATGAGGCCATCGTCTTTGTCATCACAACCACTTGGACATAACGTACATTTACGTCCACAAATTTGCCTTCACTAAGCTTCTCCAGCTGCATATGAAGACTCGCAACATTCTCCCCATCAGCTATTTCTTCCATAACTCCATTTATACACGATTCAAATTTCATGTTCAGCAGTCATTTTTAGAGACGGCTTTTGCACTTTAATGACATTAAAGTGTAATCTAACAAGGGCTATGGGATGCTCAAAAGACAGTAGGCCCACAGGAGAAAACAAGTAATTGAGAAAAAATGTAAATGGTCACAAAAAATAATATTACAATTTTTAAAAAAATCCTTTATGGTAAGAACTATCATACGCAAAATCAAGAGGCAGGACTAGATGAAGGAAACAACTACAACTCATATCCAAGACAATCAGTTTCCTTTACATGTAACAAGATCCATAAGAAAATGATTTCCCACTCAAGGATACAAAATTTAAACAGCTTACAGAAAATAAAAATTGTAAGGCTTGAACATTAAAAAGTGCTCAACCTCCCTGCAAGAGAAATGCAAATTAAGATTTCACTGAGAACTTCTGATACAATTTGGATGCATCTCAGCAAAATAAATCTCTTATAATGCTGAGAAAAACAAGCCATAAACAAGAGCACATACTGTATGATTATATGAAATACAAGAATAATGAATAGATACTTTAAGTCAGGATAATGGTTACCTTTCCAGAGGCTGGGGATAGAGTAATGACTGGTATAGTGGTTACACAGGTGTGTCCAATTTGTGAACTTCACCATCTGTATTCTGTACCTTTTAATGTATTCTGCATATCATAATGAAAAGCATATCTTTAAAAAAAATACAAGATATCATTCTTTATCTACCAGTTTGGCAAAGATAAAAAGCTTTATAATACTCTGTAGTGTTATAATACACACTGGTGGTAGGAGTATCAATAACCACAACCTCCATGGAGACAACCTGGCAGTGAAATTTAAAAATGCAGTGCAGTGGCTCAACGCCTGTAATCCCAGCACTTTGGGAGGCCGAAGCGGGCAGATCACCTGAGGACGGAAGCTCAACACCAGCCTGGCCAATATGCCGAAACCCCGTCTCTACTCAAAATACAAAAATCAGCTGGGCGTAGTGGTGCGCGCCTGTAGTCCAAGCTACTCGGGAGGCCGAGGCTGGAGAATCGCTTGAACCCAGGAGGCAGAGGTTGCAGTGAGCCGAGATTACGCCACTGTGCTCCAGCCTGGGCAACAGAACAAGACTCCATCTCAAAAAAAAAAAAAAAAGAAAAAGAATAAATAAAATAAAAATGCACATATCCTTTGACCCTGAAATTCTACTTTGGGGGATTTATTCATCAAAATGTTTGCACATGTGCAAAATAACTTATATACAATGCTATTCATTGCTGCATTAGAAAAAGAAACAACAAATTCTCCATCAACAGGGGCCTGGTGATATTACAATAAAATAGTATTCCGTAAAAAAAAAAAAAAAAAAAAAAAAAAACAATGAAGAACCTCTTCAGATACCGATTTGAGAATGATCACCAGGAAAGACAGTCAGGCAATAAAAGCAGTGCATATAATGTTCTACAAAGTTTTTGGGAAATACGCTGGGAGAGAGCATGTTACATACTTTTTTGTATATAGTAACATCATCTCTGGAAGGACACATAAAAAACTAATAATACCTGTCACTCCAGAGAGGTGAGCCAAGTGGCTGGGGGACAGATGTTGAAAGGTTTTTTGCTGTATACACTTCTGTACATTTTAAGTTTTGAACCATATAAAATGCTCAAGTGTTCAAAACAAGTTAAAAAAATAATTACCTGAAAGGGAGGCAAAAATAGACCTGTAAAGGGATGATCAGAGTCCAGTCTAAAACAATTAACTCCTCAGAAAAGATCCATCTAGAAATGTTTTGGAAAAAAAAAAAAAAAAAAAGGCCACTATATTTGGGGTTTAGAGGTACCGTGAAATTGGTTACATTACTGAGCCGCACACAGAGGCTTGCATCTATAGTCCCAGCTGCTTGTGAGGCTGAGATAAGAGGATTTGTTTGAGACAAGGGAGTTCGAGACCAGGCTGGGCAACCTAGCAAGACCCTGTCTCTAAAATAATAAAAAATGTTAAACTCCATCTCTACTAAAAAGAAAAAAGAAAAAAATTCGCTGGGAGCGGTGGCGGCCGCCTGTAGTCCCAGCTACTCGGGAGACTGAGGCAGAATGGTGTGAACCCGGGAGGCGGAGCCT